GCTTATTTTCAGTTATTTACGAATTAGTCACGTAAATCATAATTAATTTACCAACAATTATCTGACTTAAAGGAAGAATGAACACACAGCCGCACGCCCTGTAGAAACACAACCTGAATAACAATACAACCGATTTAATTATTTTATATTAACTTCTAAAGCGAGAATGGGAATGGATCAATTTTTTCATTATCCATTCTTTCTGTTACTTTATAAGAAGTAACTAATTTCCAAATAAACGCTTCACTTCACCTCTTCGTAAAACAAAGATTTAATGAGGAATGTGAATGAAACTGTAAGTAGTCAATGGTCAATTGAATAATTTCTTCATGATTTTTTTCCATAAGAATCCTCGGAAAAATAAACAAAAACGTGGATGATAAGCGACGATTAAATCATTTATTGCTCATGAATGGATGACATTCAAAGACAGTTGTTGGGATTTTTTGTCTCAAATTGCGTGCATTTCTGCAAAAAACGTGACTTCCCATGATTTGAGTGTCTTGGCGCGAAATCGCTTGCTTGAATTTGTACCCAATCGGTAGTTACAAGCGCAAGCCTACAATACATCTCTTCTAGTGTGGATGGACGGAAACAATAGCTCTGCTGAACGGTTTGCTCGTGTTTTACCGAGGCTTTATTTTTTTTTTGGTCAGAATTTCCGTTTCCTGTATTACTGCCGTCTATACATACCTAAGGATCCATGAAATTGAGCTTCCGGAAACAGAGTATCCGGAGATAAGCTAACCACTATTAGGTTTCAAGCCATTTCTTTCGTCCTCTCAACTGTTTTCTGCTAAAGTTTCTGAAGAATTTTTTGTAAAAATCTGTAGTCTTATGGCAATTTCAAATTACATAATTCAATTTGTTTCATGATTTGTTCCAGTTATATGGAACTATAAAATTTAATGGTTATAATAAAATCGGAGTTCAAGTGCGATTTTGAATTAGTACTACTACCAGTGTGTAAGTGAACAGTATTAATAACTCTTCGTTATTTTCAACCTCTTAAAACTTAATGAATTTTCCTATACTTACTTTAACAACGATCCAAATAACTGAGGTGTGTAAGTATTTCTTAGTATTCCAGTCTTCGTTCTTCCACTCGAAAATGCTAGTTCATAATAAAATTCGCAAAATTTCAGCTCATTCACAGAATATATTACCATCGTTTGTGGTCAAGGAAATAATAATGACGGTCGCATTGTGAGTTAACTGTTGAACATTAATTAAATCTAATCACCATCCAACTTATTGAAAAAATTTTGGAATTTGCTGATCTCGACTACTGTATTAGATCAGTGAAAAGTCCGATTATTTAGCTGTGCATATGCATATGTGCGCGTGTGAAATCCTAGTTTTTTCTTTTTTTTTATAGGTCACTGTTTCCACGACCAAGCTATGGCGTTTTTGTGGAGGAATAAGCGCCACTGTTAATGAAACCGTTCCTGTAATATACGAAATACAAAAAAGAAAGCCACAGCCTTCTGAGTTTTTATCAGTAAATTATCACTTTGAAAGTAGTAATGCGTTAATAGTACAGCGCCAGAGAGATGTTTCGAATTGTCTTTCCTTCATCCAAGAAAGAAAAACAAAAAAAATTGTCTATTTCAACAAAACTAAAATTCAGAAAAAATGTATTGCTCTTTATATATATATTACCTTAGAAGTTTTTATTTTTGCTTATTAAAAGTGATATACACTGGAATGAAAGGTGGATTTGAAATGAGTTAGTGAACAAAGCAAAATTACCAGTCTTTCAATAATTTTTATACCATTTTCTTTTTCTTTTTTTATCGTTTTCTTTTTCCATTTCTGGCAAATAATGCAGCCTTATTCATCGAAAATACCCTTAAGGCGGGAATTCATGGATATTAATCGAAAAAATAATGCGACTCATAGTCGAGTCAGGGAACATTGCAAGGCAGCATGGTGAATTGGTAATTGTTGAATTTGAATATACTTTTTTTTCGTGTGCAAAGTATAACCATACTCTTAGATGGATTACTTTCAAACGATTTTTATCCTACACCTTTTCTACACAAATTCATTTACAGATTCGATCAAATTATGCGATGAGAGTTCAAGTTAATGTCTAATAACAAAACAATCATGTGGACGTAATACCTATTTCATCGCTGCACGCTTTTCCATCGTGATAAGAGAAACACTTGAAACACTTGGAACTAAATCGGAATCAATGACGAAGAGGTAAATTGTAAGGGAAGCATTTGCAGTTTCTGCTATTCGATGTTCCTTTCATAATCAGCAAATTTTTGTAATTATTAACTTTACCTAAAATGTTCCTTCAAGTTCTCAAAGTGCAGCGTGGCAGCAGGTATCCAACAGGTTAAATGCAGAAAACTTTTTAATGAAATTCTGAAATATTTTCGTCATCGGAGAACAATTTTCCTTTAAATCAAATAATGAAGATGTAAAGTTAGAATCCTCTTGATATCATAGTTGTCATATTGTTTTATATTGAATATTAGTAATCCTTTCTTTTGACGTAATGAAGCAATTAATATCCTTCAGATTTACCATCACTGCATTCACTTTCCATGCACTAATTGTAAACATCTATTTTATATCTGTTTGATTATATGGTTGTCTTTTCAGATCATCAGAATTGCTTGGTCATTCATATCTTTCGGTTCATGTTTTAAACATTTTTACGATTCACAGTTTCATGATCCATACCAAATACAGCGGCATTTCCACGTTAACTGACTAGTCAACTAGTCAAACTGTTAAGTTTCGACTTTAGCCTTTCCGTTTAGATTAATGACAATTTTTCATCGACAATATGTCATATTGGTGGATTTTATGAATCTAGCAGAAAATTTGATGTTTCCAAGACTTTGTCTCACTCAATCTTCGATATTTCTCGATGAAAAAGAGCTTTGATCTTCTCTGTGGCATCTTTTAATAGTGACGATTTCGAACGGAACCATATCCTGTTAAGGATAACTAGAATAATGCCTGGTTATGACAAT